TTATGACAAAGGGGAAAAAAGATTAAAACTTCAGGTACTTTTAAGGAGGCCAGAGCAGCAATGCAAAAATTAATACCTCAAGCTGTAGAGACATTGGGTTATTTCGAAGCAGGACACATGAAAAATGAGCAATGCCCTCGCCGGGACTGGAACCTCGAACCTCTCGAGTACGCACCGAGTATGCTGTCCATTACACCCCGAAGGCAGGCTAAGAAGGGAGAAATACCTTATACACCCCCCTTTTAAAGGGCAACTGGGGATTTGGAGAATCAGTCGCCAAATCCTGGTGGCGGAGAATCATCATACACCACCTCTTTTTAGTTCGTGTGCCACTGTAGAGACATTCACTATTTAGAAGCAGGAGACATGAAAAATGAGCAATGCACTCGCCAGGTCTCGAACCTCGTACCTTTCGAATACGCGCCGAGTATACTGGACATTACACCACGAAGGCATGCTAAGAAGGCGGGAGAAAGACCTTATAAAGCATTCACCTCTAGCAACAGAAACAGCTGTCATGCGGCTGGACATGAAATCGAGCTGACGTCGAGTCAAGGATGTTGCAGATAACGCGGCTTCCGTTCTGTGCCAGAGTTTATATATCCTACTGATTGGCAGACGTAACTATGCTGGCAAAGGCTAGATATAGGCTGGCTGGCATAGGCTAACGGTGGGACAACTAACTCTGTGGTCCGACTGGGTGGAATTACCGGAACCGACTATTTATGTGAGGAGACCGGGTTCTTCCAGATCACTGGTTAGACTTGTGTCTAGACAGCTTCGGCCTGTAGACAAATAATCAGTCTTCACATAGATTAGAACCATCGTTTATTCGGTGGTTGATTCTGGGTTGGCAGGGACTGTACTGGTATTGTCTTGTCTTGGGCCCTGGCTGTGGGGACGTTACATGGTCAGATTTCGATGGCCGTCTCAGGGGGTTGGCTCCTCTCGGTCAGTGTGGAGGGAAGGACGAACTCTGAGTTTTTTAATGTCGAAGTTTTAGTACCGCGGGAGAGAGTGGTGACCCCTCACTTGGGAATTGTCGATGTTATTTGAGTAGTCGGAGTTGAGATCGGCCCTGTGTATCTCTTCGTGATGGTCGCCCGTCGGTCTCTTCTCCGATGAATATTGTCAAGGGTTCTATTCCCTCCGCAGCGACCGGGAGGGGTGGCGTCCTCTCGGATAGGCCCTGGAATCTCAGTTCTATCAAACCTTGTATGGGAGGCTTTGAGCCTTCTGGGCCAAGGGCTCTGGCTCTAGTTTACTGATTGGCAGATGTTGTCGCACTAGTTCCTCTGTGATCCCTGACCAGTCGTTTTCAAGAGGCGAAATATCCGGAGATAGCGCAGGTCAAGGCAGAGTTTGACAGATAGAGCATAATCCCTAACATCGATGTAGACAAGAGTATATCATCTCGTACATTTGTGAATAGGAGCCGTTTAAATCCCATACACATTCCTTCTGGACACATTCCTTCTGGACCCCTCGTCGACCAATATTCAGGAAACTTAAGGGAACTCATACACCTTAAACCCCTTATGATCTTCGAATATGTTACTGTTGCAAGAATTGAGATATTTTATTTATTTTAAAAGCAATTACTTCCAACTTTTAGAGCTGACTACATAATATAGCTGCTTTGGAAATTAGTAACCAGAAAGTTTGTGTTGCCACAAATATTTTTGTAATTTAATCCGCTTTTGTGACAAAATATTTCCGCCATGTTTCCACCTTTCGCGCATGATATTTTAAAAATTGGCTAATGGTACATACTTGAAATTTGGATGGAAATTCTTTATATGGGCACTACTTTCTAACTGAACCAACAATCCGATGAATATTTTAATACTGAAAAATTATATGGACGAAAACATTAAAAATTTTGTTAATAAAATACATTTTATAAACTTAACTCAAAATAAAATAAAAATTTAACATGAAATTTTTAGAATTTTAGGTTCACAGTAATTTCCAAATGTTATAAAAGCTATATATTAAATATGGAATTAAATTATGAAACAGAATGTTTGAAACTGTGCGCGCAAGTTGGAAACATGACGAAAAATGTTGTCACAGAGCAGATTATTAAATTATAAAATTATAAAATATATTGTGGCAACACAAATTTTCTGATTACTATTTCAGAAAAAAGCAGGTATATTATGTAGTCAGCTGTAAAAAGTTGGTAGTAATTGCTTTTAAAATAAATAAGTTATCCCAATTCTTGCGACAGTCACCTATTCGAACATCTTATGGGTTTTAAGGTGTATGAGTCCCCTTAAGACAGCGTTGGCAGCATGCAGTCTGACTAACCTTATAAGGTACCAGAAGCGGGAGCAGCCCTACCTACCTAACCATACAAGTTGGTCTTATAGTCATAACAGGCCATGCTCAAACCTGTAAAGTATTTTCTCCCTCCCTCTAGCAGGCCTTCGTGGTGTAACGGTTAGCACACTCCACGTGTATTCGAGAGGTCCAGGTTCGAGTATCGGCAAGGGCATTGCCCGTTCTTCTATTTCCTTGTTTCGAAAAATTCTAAAATAAATCTACAATGGCGCCCGAACTAAAAGGTGATAATTCTTCACCAGCAGGATTTGGCGATTGGGTACCCTAATCCCCAGTCGTCCTTTAAAAGAGGGGTATATAAGGTATTTTCTCCCTACCTTTCGGGATGCCTTCGTGGTGTAATGCTAGCACACTCGGCGTCTAATCGAGAGGTCCAGGTTCGAGTCCCGGAGAGAGCATTGCTCATTTTTTATATACTCCTACTTCAAAACAAAGAGAAAGAAAAAAAGGGAAAAAACTAATGATTCTAGAGTGGCGCCCGAACTATAAAAAAGGTGGTAGATAATGATTCTTCACCATCAGGATTTAGTGACTAGGTCCCCTAAAATCTGCAGTCGCCCTTTAAAAGAGGGAATATATAAGGCAGATAAGTAGAGTCTCCCTTCTTCTAGCATGCTTTCGCGGTGTAACGGTTAGCACACTCGGCGTGCATTCGAGAAGTCCCGGCGAGGGCATTGCTCATTTTTCATGTTCTTCAAAAATAGCCTAATGACTCTACAACCTGTTGAAGATGGAGTGACGAAGACCTCGAAGATATGAAATATGGCACAGCCATCAGCATTAAAACTTCGTTATTGTAACTGCGGCTGGTCAAAGTATTGGATATGGGAGTTAGGGCTAACGGAATGCATACTCAAAGGCACTGCATACTGTCAATCCATACCCTGTACCGGTATGATGAAGAAAAATGCAAGCTTCCAACATTCATGACCCTCAGAATAAGTACTCACAGATATAGCCATCATGATGGTGTCAACAAAAAGACGACACCACGCCATAGACGAATCGCGTTGTTGAACATCGTCGATGCCGTGGTCGTTGAACGCACCACTGTAGGTGCTTTTTTTTAAATAATAGCTTCAGGACCGTTTCTATGTCACTGGCTGCCAATGTACTTTCCCGAAGTTGCCGCCCCCAAATTAAAAAAAAAAAAAAAAAAACCCTCAGTGATTAATAAAATTTTTATTTCATACTCACTAAGTACTTAATATGATAAAATTGTATAAAAAGTACTTACAAGTACTTACAATGAATTTAAAATATTTAGGAGTGGTATCACGAGTGTCCGGTCGTTCCTGATTTTGGCCGCCCGCGTACTTTTACGCACTTCATCCCCCGCTAGGAACGACCGTGCATAGTTGCTGTTGTGAAAGAACACATTTCAAAATAGCATTCAGAATAGCTATGTTTCTCAGATCTTGTACTAGATGGCAGCACATACTAAAGAATGAAAAAGTACTAATTGCGTAATGAAATGTTTTATATGTCATGGGATATATTTGTAATACAATTCACACGCTATGCATATATTAAATAATTGTTCTAATCCGAATTTCGGTAAAATTACGCAATATTTTTCATTATTTCGAATGATTAATACTGGTGAATTCAACAAGCTAATGCGGCAAAAATCTTTTGCTAACAGGATTAACTGTTTTACTTTTTCTACTTTCCTTGCAACTTTAACGAGTGCTTTGACACAACATCACTGATCACTGGCAGTTTGACCTCGATTTTTCTTCCAGGAAACTCGCCTGATATTATGGGCGTTTTTGCTCCACCTGTAACATGAAAATAATCCAAGTTCCGGCAGGAGAAAATCCTCTTCGAAGTAAACAGACAGCTGTCGTACTGTGCCATAATCAATCAACAAATGAGTATATTGTCAGTTGGGCAATATATCTTATTGAAATCTGATTAATATATATATTTGTTAATATTTCACATGATTCGTAAAATGATTTTCACTTTATTGGTACGATTTATAAATTTAAAAAAATGTTTTGTTTCCATAAATTATTTTATTCATACTAAATCTCCGTTTGTTTTATATAAATATAAATAATTTTTTGCCTCAATGAATGGCGAGTAATCTATTTATTTATGACTGTACTTAATGTATCAAAATATCTTTTTCTTCATATGTAGGTTGCGTCGTAGATGCTCATATTTAATTAAAATAATTTCTTATTGCAATTAGTACAATAAGTTTCATCAATGAATAAAACTAAATTAAGCAGGACTTTTTTAAAGGCTGTAAAAAAATAAAAATTAATTAATCAATCAAACAAAAAAACTGAACTTTTGTATCTGATTTAAATTTGCTTTTACTAAAAATTATCAAAAACTTTTCGTCGTTTCTTCTTATTAGCATATATTATAAAAACATTATTTGTACAAATCCTAATTTCTTTTAAAGTAATAAATTACTTTGTTTTAGACGTGGACAAGCAATATATTTTATGATGAATTTTTATACTTTACATTAGTGTTATACATGTTGCAGCATGTATGCCTAAATTAAAATTAAAATTATTACTTATTATAATCACTGTTATTAGCTTTTGCTGAATTATACAAATTTAAATTAATGTTTTTAAAAATAATGAAAGGAAAATCAAAAATAAATTAATCAATGAAATGGAAAACCTTACCTTGAATCTACATTTTTCTTTTCAAAATTATTAGACAATTTATAGCTTTTGATAGTCGTTCCTTGTAACTCTTCATCTTCATTTGCAATACCATCAACAAATTCATTTAAAACGTCATTAAGTAGTAAATTTGCCTTATCATTGTCAGCTGGCATTTTTAATAACTGAAATATCCACTAGTAAAAGAGTCAGTGAAATAAATAAGCTTTAATTAAAAATCTTTTCTTACGTTTAATAATAATTTTTCAATTTTCGATCTTCGTGCACATGTGGTAAGAAAATGCAGAGTATATACTTCCTCTAATATACTAATATTGACCGAATGTTTTGGCATTGTTGTGCAAGTCTAACGATTGGCGACACATTGGCGAAATTGTGTCTACCCGCAGAATTACTGCAATACTTGACGCGCCAAATCCACATATTCGTTTGATTCCCGATTATTTTTTACAACCTTTGATTCTTAAACTGTTTCTTTTTCGTTCTGTTCCCATTTTGTTCGCTCTAAGAATAAAAAGTCACTAAACTGAATTGTTATCTTACTGTTCTTTTCATTGAAAAGTGATAAATATCAACATATCAGTTACTAGAATTGCATAACAGTATTACTATTTCCCATTCTCTCGAAATAATCAAAGTAACTTAAAGTAAGCTATATTTAAATAGATATGTAGGATAAAGCAATCTCCTTTAATGATGCAATTCAGTTCTTTATGATGTAAGTGTAAATCAAAACAAAGATCTATAATAATGCGGAATTAATTATTCTATTCATGTCTTTTAATGAGGTAAACCAAATAAAAACGTGACTTGTGGTTAATTGCCATGAGAAGTCTTTCCTTCGGGGTTTAAAGCTTTTATTTACTAACTTTCCATGCATATTTATGTAAAGTAAGACGAGTAAAGTTACTTGTAACAGGATAAAACAACATAAGAAAGAAAGTTGTTGAGAGAAAATACTTCCGAGTCAACGGCGTTGGGATAGGGTTTTTGCATATTCAAAAAAGGCTGTCTGCGGATTATATACTAAATTAAGCAGGATACAATATAATAATATAATAATGTAAATCAGAAACCCATGTAGTTGGTCTCATTGGTGCAGGATATTAGTTCACAGACATTTGAAAGTCTTAAGACTGAAGATGCAGATGATTAAAAATTAAGTTACAAAGTATTCAATATACGATTTGTTCGGCAATAATATTTAAGTTTAAAAAGCAATTAAAACATAACATATTTTAATTATTGCAATTAAAACATAAAATATTTTAGTTATTACATTAAAAGAAAATAAGAAATTCAAAACTTATTGCTAAACACCCGTTAAATATCTAGTGTATAAACTATTTGATCTATATTAGGGCTTTAGAGTGTAAAACGGTACATGTCACTTTCCATTTGTGTGAAATACAAATTAAATATTTTTAAACAATTATGTATTTATACGGATATGTATTCTGGTATTTGTTGCATTTTAAAGAACATTAAAAGTTGTATAAACCCAAAAGAATACTAAATATTGTAAGGATTATGTTAATTTTATTAACAGTTAAATTTTAAGTTCCTTTCCTGTCAAATTCTTAACTTCAACTTACTACTTCCGGCCAGAACGTATTTTAGAATCTTTCTGATTATATAATCAGGAAAAGCGGTTTTTAACCGCGAAGTTTTATTTGGTGAGTTAGAGAGAATCAGAGTTTCTGTTTTGCGCGCGTTTGCCTTTTTGGCTACTCTCTCGCAAAGCTGTTATTACGCTCGGCCGTACTCAGGCCCTTGATAGCTTCGCAGTCAATTAGCGTTAACTCGGTTAGAATCTTGATAGCTTCGGCTACATCTCTTTAGTTTAGATTAGTTTTAGTTTATTTCTTAGCCTCTTAAGTTCAAGCCCAAATGTCGGCTTTTATTGTACACTCCAAGACGAAGTTCTGTTAAATCTTATTTGAATAATAAAGGGTTATTTACCCTTCCATCTTGTTGTTTCTTGTCACAGGAACTTAAGCGATTATTCGCTTATTAGTTCTAAAGATTCCTCATGTTCAACAGCAATTTAGCCTTTACAAAGTGAGGAACTCTACAATATAATAAAGTAATAAAAATAACAAAAAAGAAACAAGCATGCTGAAAGCTTTTAAATATATTTAATAAATAAAACTACAAAAAAATTCACAAGGGTTATTAAAAACAAAACTTCTTTATTTTGATTTTTTTTTTTTTTTTAGAAAAATGTTCTCCGCCCTGGATGTCTTTGTTTCCTGTTAGGTTTAATAAATCTGCTTCACAATTCATCAACATACCTATATAGAAATGAGTTTATGTCTTGCATCTATTTAAAAAGAGAGATTTAAAAGAGAATTTTGAAACCATTATTAAAAATATAGCAAAAAATGGGGGAAAATAATAATAAGGTTAATGAAAAATTCTTCAAAACACTTTTTAATTAAAAAAAATTATTTGCTTACAGTTTAAATATTATATTATTGACTTTGAATGATGTATAAAGATTAAATGAATTTATCCAAAAATACAAGCCATAAATATAGATTTCATGTTTTAATTCCAATTTTTGTTTCCTTTGTATTAATTCAGATTTAAAAAGTCAATTAGCCTGTGTAAAATGCACATTATAAAATTACGTTTAAAATGCGGCTACGATAATTTATTATCAATTCGGTTTGCTTAGCTGACTAAAGCAAAGCACACGAAGGCTATCTGCCTAAGGGGGGGGAGACGTTTTCCTAGAAGATATTTAAAGAGAAACAAAGTCATTACTATAGTTTAATGACAATGATTTTATTTTTTCAATTTATTATTTTAATAATTATCTTTTTCTCCTTCTTCCCCCCCCCTCTCTTTTGAAATTCAATTTTTAATTTGCAATCGTTGCAGCTGCTTAAGAAATTCGTTTTTTAATTTGAAAAAAAAAAAAAAAAAAAAAAAAAAAAAAAAAAAAACCAACTTCGTTAATTTGCTCATACCTTTATCTCAGGGCACTCTTGTGAAGGTTCTTCTCTTTAGCGAACAGCGAGCAATTTGCAAAAGCGTGGGGGCACGTACATGAAAGAGAATAATGTTGATGACTTCTCGGTAACAAGTAACTTACCGTTAAATTCTCCGTTTATTTTATTTCTCAGTATAATTCAGTCTTTTTCTTACTTATTTTACATTTCCATTCTGCACGAATTCAACAGTTATGATTAATTTTTCATTAGTTTGTAAAACGATCGATACCATGAGATAGATTGGCACAGCTACCGGGGCTTCAAAGAAAATAACTTGAATTCCCGGAGGCCTCGTCTGTCCCTGTTTTAAACAGTGCAGTTACAAACAACACTATTATGAACAACTGATGCTAAAGCAAAGTTTAAAGTTTAAAGATATTAAACATTTAGCAGTGGTAGCAATGAAAGCTCCCTGAGTTATGTTGTGCAGACATTGAAGACAATAAAAGATTTTTGAACTTGACCAATTTATTAACAATATAATAAAAAAAATAAAAACACATAAAATAAATTTCAACAATATTAGAGTATTAGGCAGAACATAACATAATCATCATTCATCAAATATTTTACCTGTACTCTCCAAAACACTGGCATTCTATACAAACAAATTTAAAAAAAAAAATGAAAAAAAAAGTCCTAAATAGTGACTCTGCCGCCTAAAAATAAAGCAGGCTACCCATTCCATAAGTCCATAATCAATGGTCAAGAAAAACACCTGGAAAAATTTTAAATGTGAAAACCACTTAAAATTTAAAAACGGCCTAACGCCGTTTGTACTTAATTCCCACCCTCTTGAAGAAACATGGACGTGCCTACGGTAGTCACTCACAGGACAGCCCCCGGAACTGAAGAACTTCAATCTGGAACCATTATCATGTAAACCGGAATCAAGGCATCCTTTCACCGGACTGCAGGCATCCTTTGGAAGGGGCTGGAAACCGCTCACACACCAGCCGGTAAACCAGGAACTAGAAGCCAGAGCGACGCGAGATACTTATGGCAGAAGTAGGAATGACGTCATCTCACGGCAACCAATCAGCTATCGGCACGAATCGGCTTTTCAGAAGACGTAACGTTGTTTCGTTTTTGCATCTCAATTAGGTTGAGACAGTCCGTTTCCAATGCAAACAGTGGCAGCAAGAAAAGAAGTAGAAGTAATTACTATGTTATATTAAAATAAGGACTAAACTAAATAAACATTTCAAGGAGGAGAGATGATGCATTAAAAAGTTTAAAAATAAGCTATATTTTCCAACAAATGCCCCCCACATCATCATCTCCGACCTGAAATATAAACCGAATGCCAGTATCTGTACAAAAATTTAAAACAAGAATAAATAAATATCACAATTTCATTCAGAAATTTTTAAGAACATTTTTCTTTGGGAAAATCTTATCCCATTATTCAAAAATTTTACCGTAACAAGAAAGTCCAACATGTTACAAAACAATACAAAGTCATATATATGATCATACGCTCAATACATTTACCCAGGGCCCTGGTCACTCATGCAACATTTTACACTATACAATTTTACATTTACCTAATATCCATCATATATGACTTATAACATATTTTTCAAATTAACAAAAAACTCTTAATTTTTAAATACACAAAAAAACAAATTTCATAAGAAAAATTGTTCCACAAAAATTTAACCAGATTATGCTTAGTCAGCGGTTTTGTCATGGGATCAGCCAGATTATCTTTACTTGGGACATATTTTAAATCAAAATTTCCCCTGTTCAATAGATCACGAATGAAAAATAGTTTCACATCTATATGTTTTGTCCTTGAGTTTTCAATGGGTGATTTTGGTAAAACATATAGCAGCCATGTTATCAGCAAACAATATTGGCCTCGAAACATAGTTACTTGCAATTTTAAACTGAATGCATTCATCCACAATGTTTTTAACCAAACTAATTCTTTTGCTGATTCAGTCATGGAGATAAATTCAGCCTCCATAGTAGATAAAACTCACTCCCCTTTCTTTAAACGTACGCCAAGATACAGGTGATTCTCCCAACAAAGCTATTTGTCCACCAATAGACACCATATCATCCCTGCTTGAAGCAAAATCCGAATCTGAATATATATTGAGCTTCAGTTCCTTGCATACCAGCTTGAGTTTGTGCTGTCTGGTATTGGAAACGTACCCTAAAAGTTTAAGTAATCCTTCCCAGTGAAACTTACCAGGATTGCTTTGGAACTGAGAAAATATATTAACAGCATAAGCTATATCCGGACGAGTACGATTGCAAAGAAACGATAGACATCCCAAAACATTTCTATAAGGATAATTCATCATTTCAGTCGTTTCTTCTTGTGTACTGGACTTTGAGACTTTGAGTATTTCACCACCTTTAACTATTGGAAGGGAAGTAATTTGTATTTTAAAAGACTTAAACCGATTAAAATGTCTTCTATATATAATTGCTGATGAATTAAAAACACTATTTTTCTCATATTCAAATTCCACACCCAGAAGCTTTCTTGT